TCTGGCGGACCAGCTGATAGCTATGATGCACACTGACCATCAGAGAGCAGGAACTCAACAATGGAGCTGCCCCCTAGTGGTCAGTGGACACCCACAGCCAACCTCCTGCAATTCCATCCTCCCTCCGCCCCCCACTGGCTTCGGTCCCTCCTCCCTGCCAGTCACCCCCAATTGCCAATCAGGTGGAGGGACCCTATCTGTACATGAATTCATGCACAGGCCTCTAGTATCCTATATAATAAAAGCCTAGCCCTAGCTGGTTTGGCTCAGTGGATAGAGCATCAGCCTGCGGACTGAAGGGTCCCAGGTTTAATTCCAGTCAAGGCCACATGCCCAGGTTGCAGGCTCGATCCCCAGTGGGGGCATGCAGGAGGCAGCCAATCAATAATTCTCTCTCATCATTGATGTTTCTCTCTCCCTTCCTCTCCAAAATAAATTAAAAATATATGTAAAATAACAATAATAATAAAAGCCTAATATGCACATTGTTCTACCAGGAGTTCGTCTGCTTGCTATGCTGTGTGCTATGCTGTGTGCAGAACAACAACAGCAGGACCACAGCAGGATGGTGGAGCTGGTGAAGGGGCAGTGCCCAGATACAGCAGAGTGCTTGGTGGGGCTGGGGGATTACAAGGCTGAGGGTGCAAGCTGGGGCTATGAACCTGGGGGCCCAAGCTGGGGCCCAATCCCCACAGGCCACCCAGAGGGACCCCACCCATGCATGATTTCATGCACTGGGCCTGGTGCATGAAATCATACCTGGGTGGGGTATCCCTCAGTCTGGCCTGCCCCCTCTCACAGTCCAGGAGTCCTCAGGGGCAGGAGGCAATCCGGTGATCAGGGGAAGTTGACACCCCATCACACCTCTGCTGCTGCCACTGCTGGCAGTGCAAGCCTCAGCCGGCCCTGATTACTTGAGCTTTGGGTGGCCTTGGTCAGCTGGGGCACTGAGAGGACTGGAGGACTCTGAAGGCAGGTGCACAGAGCAGCTGCCTGCCACCCCAGCAGGGCTGAGGGGACTGGGTGCCGAAATCTTGTGGCTGTAGGCACTGCCATCTTTGAGTGTGTGGCAGTCAATTAGCATATTCCCTCCTTATTGGCTGTGGGTGCCACCATCTTTGAGTGTGTGGCAGTCAATTAGCATATTCCCTCCTTATTGTATAGGATACACACACACACACACACACACACACACACACTGAGTGGCTAGATTATTATGTGTTCAGAGATCATAATAATCTGGCCACTCAGTGTATATTTTTATGGCTCTACCTTCAAAATCTGTATTTCCAGATATTGTCTACTTCTTGTCTCCACTACTTTTCCTGGGTTGAGGCCACCATTACAACTTGTTTGTATTTTTATAAAAGTCTCCTGATGTATCTTTCAACTTCTACTTTTGCCACAAAACAGAGGCTGGTCTGTTTCCCCACCAGACAGATCATGTAACTTAAACATAAGTCACATCATGTAACTCTTCCAATGGCTTCCCCAATTGCTCAGGTCAAATTCCTTAAAACATATTTTGTCCCAACCACATTTTCTTCCCTCCCTTCAGCTCATTGTTCCAGCCACTCACTGCCCTCCTGGCTGATCCTTAAATGACACGGCATGAGGCTCAGGACTCAGGGCCTTAGCACTTACTGTTCCTTCTGCATGGAATGATGTTCCCAAAAGGGCTCTTGCTTAAGGTGACAGACGTCCCGCTTTTGGAGGGACAGCCCCGATTTTTAACACCTGCGGTGTTTTAAAAAAGTCTCAATGTGTTAAAAAAAAAAAAAAAAAAAAAAAAAAAAAAAAAAAGTCCCGATGTTTGACTTTACTCTTGCTTCCTTGCCTCAAAGGTCACTTTCTTGACCATCCCATTAAAAACTGGACCACGGAAAGCTCCCATTCTTCAGGAAACAGGAAAGCCTTGATTAGAAACCCAGAGCTAAATCAACAACCTGCATTCTTTCCTCCAGAACCCAGTGCCTCCCCCGTGCAAGGTTAGCGTGAGAGCTTCCTTGCGGCAATCTTCCTTGTAAGGGATTAAGAGCCGTCAGAACAGAGTGTGATTGGCTCAGCTCCCTGGGTTTGCGGCTTTGAGGGCGGCTTTGCCCAGGGAAGGAGCACTGGCTCCCCGGTCGCTGCAGGCGCCCGGAACCTAAAGTCAGGGTCTCGGTTTCCGCCCGGAGAGCTGATTGCGCTGCTCAGGCCGCTCCCGGAGGAAACTGCGCTGGTGCCAGGGTAACTGCGCAGGCGGCGGGCGGGGCCGCAGTCCTGGCCGGAAACTAGGCGGGCGGGTACTGAAGCGGAGGAGAAGGGGCAGCGGGAGGGGGGTGGGAGGCTGCAGGCCGGGAAGGCACGGCTGCGGGCCTGGGAGCGTGTCTTTGGGAGAAAGTGGCCGGAGAGCGCGGCCCGAGGGGTTATGGGGGAGGGGAGGGTGGGTGACCGCCCCTGGGTGCGCTGTGGGGAGGGAGGGTGGGTGACCGCCCCTGGGTGCGCTGTGGGGAGGGAGGGTGGGTGACCGCCCCTGGGTGCGCTGTGGGGAAGGAGGGTGGGTGACAGCCACTGGGTGCGCTGTGGGGAGGGAGGGTGGGTGACCGCCCCTGGGTGCGCTGTGGGGAGGGAGGGTGGGTGACAGCCACTGGGTGCGCTGTGGGGAGGGAGGGTGGGTGACCGCCCCTGGGTGCGCTGTGGGGAGGGAGGGTGGGTGACCGCCCCTGGGTGCGCTGTGGGGAGGGAGGGTGGGTGACCGCCCCTGGGTGCGCTGCGGGGGAGGATGGAGCTGTGGACTGCGTTCCTAACCCTGCCTGTCTCCCTGGGAGGCCTCGCCTCCGTCCCTCCGGCACAGGGATCTTCTTTCCGGGTTGGGGACACTCCAGTTAATGTGTGTGGATATGGGTGAGAGAGACGTTACCAACTTGCCAAAATAAACGTGGCATTCTTTTTGTTTTTTAATCCTCATCCAAGGAGTGAGGATGTTTTTTCCATTGATTTTTAGAGAGTGGGAAGGGGAGGGGAGAGGGAGAGGAGAGAGAAGCATCCATTGGCCGCCTTCCACAGGCGCCCCCACCTGGCTGGGAATTGAACATGCAAGGAAGGTACCTCCCTTGACCTGGATCTGACCTTCTGTCCGCTGGCCCACGCTCTGACCACTGAGCCACTGGCCAGGGCTGTGACATTCATTTTTTTTTTTTAATATATAATGCACAAAATGCTTTATCCTTTGATGGTATTAAAGTATTCTATAATTAGATCAATACTAATGTCAAACATCAAAGAGTTGGGGATCAGTAACTGACAGTCTGGGAATAGAAGGCTTTACGCAGTGTAGATGCAAATAATTGATCTATTTTTATTGCTCTTGCAATGCCCAAATTCCAAGAATGTAAGTAGTTTGCAAGCACTCACATTGAGTGAAGGGATTTGTAAATTAGATTTAGGATGAGTTTTTGAAATTATATTGGGCCATAAATATAAATGATTTTCTGATTTAGACTCTACAGTCTGAGGGGAAATCATTGAAACTACTTAAAAGATGATGCATTTCTTTTCATTAGTAAACACTTAAGAGTTTTTTGGGGTTTTTTTTTTGCCAAGACCGGTTTGGCTCAATGGATAGAAGCGTTGGCTTGGGGACTGAAGGGTCCCGGGTTCGATTCCGGTCAAGGGCATGTACCTTGGTTGCAGGCATATCCCAGTAGGGAGTGTGCAAGAGGCAGCTGATCGATGACTCTCTCATCGATGTTTCTAACTCTCTATCTCTCTCCCTTCCTCTCTGTACAAAATCAATAAAAATTAAAAAATAAAAAAAGAGTTTTTAATGTGTTGTGATAGCTTAGAGGTTTGGAAGAAGGAATGTTAGAAAGATTGAGGACTCTTAGGAGTATTTGCCGGAGATTTGCTTCATTTCATCTTTGCACAGTACCTTACAGGTCGCCATGTGCTTCCTTGCCCAGTATGTGATTGCCTCCTGTACCAGCCTGTGCCTAGCTAGGACGGGTATGAAGGCCCACTGATTGAGGTTGCAAAGTCACACAGGTGTAAAGTGTTGAGCCAGGACTTGAACCTGAGTCTTCTGGCTCCAGTGCTGATTTTACCCCAACACACTTGCCCTTTAAAGTAGACTGCCATTCTGTCCTGCACGACCTTGATAAGTGAGGCCACCTTCCCACTGGGAGTGCTAGGCCTGATCTAGTGACAGGCCTTCCAGGCAATCTATATATATAAAAGCCTAAGCGACAATTAGGACCAAACGACGGGTCTGGCCAGTCTCTATGATGGCACTGACCACCAGAGGGCATATGCTCAGTCCGCAGGCTGATATTCTATCCACTGAGCCAAGCCGGTTTCGGCGCGCACACACTTTTCAGGGTAAGTACCTAGAAGTGAGATTACTGACTCGCAGGGTTCACATATCCTCGCTAATGTCACCCCCTTTTCCCAAGTGGCCGCACCCCCGCTCCCAGCAGCAGCGGAGGGTTTGCCCGCCCCCTCCGCCTGGAGCCCAGCGCCCCACGCCCCTGCCCTCGGTGAGCGGAGTGGTACCCGGGGCCGTCCTCCCCGGTTTGTACGGCGTGCAGCGCCTTTACCATCAGCAGCCAGTGTTCGCTGGTCATTGGGTTTCTTTGTGAAGTCCCTGCGCAGTGTTCGCCCATTCTTGCGCCGAACTGTTTCCTTTACCTGCCGTTCTCACCGATCCCGGCATTGTTTGTCGCAAACATTGTTTGTGCCTCCCGCGCGCCGGCCGCTGTCTTGCGCGCCGGGGAAAGTCGGGGCGAGCAGCCGCCCCCACACCTGCCGGGCTGCCCTGCGGCCGCAGCGGCCCAGCCGCCCGCCTCCGGGACGGCGGGGGGCGGGGCGCACGGTCTCCAGGGCAGCGGGGGGCGGGGCGCGGGGCGGGGCGCACGGTCTCCAGGGCAGCGGGGCGCGGGGCGGGGCGCACGGTCTCCAGGGCAGCGGGGCGCGGGGCGCTGGGCGCGGGGCGCGGGCCGGGGTGGGGAGGCGGGACCGCAGGCGGCGCGGGAGGATGCGGCAGGAGCGGAGCGCGGGGCAGGTGACGGGCGGTTGCACCGGAACAGGCGGGCGGCGCGCCCCGGGAGGAGGGCGACCACACGGGGCTGGGGTGGGACCCCGGGAAGCCCGGAGGGAGGGAACCGATGGGGTGAGAAGGGCTCAGAGCGTTAGGACCCGGCCCGCCCGAGGCTCCGGGGCCCCCTTCCGAGCCGCTCGTCCTGACAGGTTCCGGCCAGTCCCGGCCCCAGACCCGCCGGCCCGCGCTCCCCGGGCGTATGCCGCCCTGGCCGCCCGCCGTGCCCATCAGAGGCGAAGAGAGAGCACAGACCCGAGCGCCCGTGGCCGCGTGGGCCTGTCCGGGGCAGAGCCACTCCCCTCCGCTCCCGGGGCGAGCGCAGCGGGCGCCTTCCCCGCCTCCCTGGAGCCTGGCCGGCCGGCCGGCTGCACCACCTGAGGCCGGAGCTGGCGGCTCCCAGGCGAGGGCCCGCGGCCTGGGTCCTCCGTTCCCTGGCCTCTGGGTCAGAAGGTCAGACACTCAGTGGGAACGTGCCCCGCTGGGAGCCACTACCCTCCACGGCCACCCCTTCCCAGTGAGTCCCCGCTGCCCAAGCGGGGCCAGGCACAGCCCTCCGCTGGCCAGCCTCCTCGTGTCTCCCAAACTTCCCTAATCCCTTAACCAAAAAGTGCGGTCTTCTATGGACATTTTTTATTGATTAACTTCAGGAGACACTAATCTATCTCACTTAAGAAAAGAAGGGAAATTGGAGAGAATAATTTCATGAAGGAGCATTTCCAAGTTGAAATGTAACGTTTACTATCTTAAGCTTCTTTAAGATCCCAAGTACAGTGACTTGAAGTCTTAGGGTAACACTGGTGTTTTAAAACTTTCAGTTACTTGATGCATTTGCTGCTTTGTAAAAATATCCTAAAAAAGCAGCAGTTGATCGGCTTCCCAGCATTAAAATAATACAATAGAGTGAAATAGATGTGTTTTTAAAATAAATCTCAATACAGCAAACCAGTCTGCTGTTAGACAGTAACGTGTAAATATGTGGCTTTGTCTGTTTTGTTAGTGAGGTGCTTTCCTCCATGGAATAGATGGTGTTCCCTAGCAACGGAGTCAACAAAGCAGCGCTAGACTACGAATAAGGCCATGTGTTTACATTAAAATTGGGATCTGCCAAAACACAAGAGGAAGCCCTTAAAACGACTTAGAGGGACCCTGATGCTGAAGGTGCCGCCACCTGACCCGCAGGGAGCAATGTGGCCTCAGGCAGAGCTGGAAGCCGCGAGAAGTGCCAGGTGAGATGGGAGGAAGCACCTCCAAACTCTCCTCAATCTGATGGGAACTCAGCGCCTTCCCAGAGTGCCTCAGGGTCTGACAGCCCTGAGACAGGGAGGGCGCGGGTGGGGGGGAATGACCCTGCGCCCATTAGAGCAGATCCCAGTGCCATCCAGGCCGGTCCCACAGCACTCCCAGGGCAGCCTCCAGCAGGCGGGCCTCTGCCCCGCTGCACTGCTCAGTGGTGCATTCACACCTGCCACACTCCTGTTGAACAGTTTGAATCATATATATATCAATATATTTATGCATAATATGCAAATCAACCAGATGGCAGACGACCTGTCAGTATGATGCATACTGACCACCAGGGAGCAGATTCTCAATGCAGGAGCTATCCCCAGTCCACAGGCCTCGATTGCACTATAGGGACCTGCTGGCCAAGCTCTTGGTTCCTCCCCCTGGCCGGCAGGCTCTGATTGCCTGATGGGAAACAGACAACGGAGGGGAGGTAGTAGCAGATGTGGTCGGTGGGGAGCGGGGCCAGCTCCTGGCAGCCAGGGAAGATTGGCCCCGATTGCAGGCCAGGCCTAGGGACCCTCCCCATGCAGATTTTGTGCACCGGGCCTCTAGTTTTTCCACTAAAGTCGCTGAGGTTGAGTCCGTGACTAACCTCACCTGGTTACACACGCCTGTCAGCAGCAGCCTGTGCACCAGCAGGTCTTCCAATGAGGCACCGGCGTGGGCCAAAGCCCCAGCGTCCTTCCCTCCGGGCAGTGAGGGCTGTGGAAACACTTACCCCACCCCTTGCTGTGCACATGCAGCCTGGGACCTGTTTCTCCCTCCAGGCATACAACGGGATAGGGCACATTTGTACCTGTGCCCTGTATATTGAAACAGGTGCCACAGTCCTGGCCAAGTTACCACATGGCCTGCCCAAGCCTGCCGGCCCTGGGCCCTGGAACTGCCCTTGACCCTCGCTGGTTAGCCCAGCCTCAGACGTGCACCTGGATAGAGAGGGCTCCACAGACCTCCTCACACACAGAGGGAGCACAGCAAGCCTCAGCCATAGAACACAGTTCCTGTCCTGTCTGCAGGTTACTAACGTGGGCATTAAAGACTTGATTAATCACAGAGTAACAGAAACATCATTATTGTAGGTAACGCTCTTGTGAACCACAGCTCGAAATATTCAGCCACAACGTGAAGCTGCCTGCCAACAAGAGTTTCCTGGTGGTTTTTGTGTTTTTTCAAGATGAGCCATGGTAGGTTAATTCCCAGGCTCTCCATTCGATCTCCTGTGCATCGTGCCAGCCTGGAGGCCCAGGCCGCAGCATCGCCTTTTAAGAAAGAAGACTTACCTCTGATTTCAAAGGATTCCCTGGAAGCCGACTCGGAGAGCCTCAGTCAGGAGGGCTCCTCTCAGGCCGAGCGTGGAGCTCGAACCCGGGACAACGCCATGGAGCGGGACAGCCTGGAGGACAGCCTGGAGGACAGCCTGGGGGACAGCCTGAGCGAGACGGAGGAGGAAGCCAGCAGCAAGGCGGCCCAGGCGGCCAGCAAGGACAGCCGTGCCCAGGACAAGGGCGCGGGCGGCAGGTCAGCAACCGGCTTGTTAACAGTGGGGTCTCCGAGGCGTGTTGTTAAGTGGTGACAGGCACTGTGCCACCAGGGTGAGGGCGGAGGGCGCTCACGGGGAGCACCCTGCAGTGTGAGATGGGTCTAAGGACAATGGGGGCCAGGTTATCGGTCACAGTTTTTTTGTTGTTTTTTTTTTAATTAAAAAAAAAAATGCAAAAGACAAGGAGCCCTGGCAGGATAACTCAGTTGGTTAGTGCATCGTCCTGATTCACCAAGGTTGCGGGTTCGACCTCCAGTCAGGACACATACAAGAACGAATTAATGAGTGCATAAATAAGCGGAGCTATCACCTGCAAGAATAGCTGCATTTTTATTTATTTACTTTTAAATATATTTTATTGATTTTTTTACAGAGAGGAAGGGAGAGGGATAGAGAGTTAGAAACATCGATGAGAGAGAAACATTGATCAGCTGCCTCCTGCACACCCCCCACTGGGGATGTGCCCGCAACCAAGGTACATGCCTTTGACTGGAATCGAACCCAGGACCATTGAGTCCCCAGGCTGATGCTCTATCCACTGAGCCAAACCAGTTAGGGTAATAACTGTATTTTTATTGTTGAAAGTTACATGCGAAAGACAAGGAAAAGTATTCATAGAGGCGTCTGCTTTCCTTATGCTCCTCATTTTCTGTCCATCTCCCAAGTGTCTCCCCTGCTGTGGCTTCACCCTGGAGACACCCAGAAGGTGGTACAGAAAAATGCCACCTTGGAGAGGGCGGTCTTGCTTCAGGCCAGGCACTGCTCTTTAGTGTACAATGTTGTGTTCAGTGATTGGCTGTCTCCTGCATGCCTCCTACTGGGGATCGAGCCTGAAACCAGGCAGATGCCCATGACTGGAATCGAACCTGGGACCTTTCAGTTCACAGACTGACGCTCTATCCACTGAGCCAAACCAGCCAGGGCGCATCTCACTTTTTCTCACCTGTTAAATAAACCAGCCTTTCTCTCACGATTGCTATAAATGCCAGTACCTCCCAGGGCTTACAGAATCATATAAAGATTCAATTTCTAATAATCTGTATTGATGGAGCATTAACTGTATGCTAGATGCTACCAAAAAGTATAAGAATAAATTTGTGCATTATTACTTGCACAAATTGTAATGAAAATATAAATGATATCATAGAGAATAGAAGTTAAAAGGTATTGATTAGAAAGAGGTTTCAGTGTGGTGGTGAAGTGCATGGAGTCTGGAACAGACCATCCGGTTCACATTTGGCCAAGTCCACTTAATCTCTCTGGCCTCAGTTTCCCCATCAGTAACAATGGGATAATAATAATGACTACCTTAAAGAGTTATGGTGCATATATATATATATATATGCACTGAGTGGCCAGATTATTATGATCTCTGAATGCATAACAATCTGGCCACTCAGTGTGGTGCAGCTGGTTTGACCTGAAGGGTGTTCCCAGATCAGGGTGGGGGTTCCCTTGGGGCATGGGGCAGCCTGAGCAAGGGGCCTTTGGTGATTTGCAGGCCAGCCACGCCCCCTGGTGACCAAAACAGAGGCTCTGGTATCTGGAATGTATTTACCTTCTACAATTGAAACTATAGCTTTGAGTGGAGGCCTAGGCGGGCAAGGACAGGCAGAAAGCTTGGCTCTTCCATTGCCTGAGAAACCCAAGCCTCCCTCCTGCTCTCTGTGACTGTAGCCATCTTGGTTGGGGTTAATTTGCATATTCACCCTGATTGGATGGTGTGTGGCTTGTGGGTGTGGCTTGTGAGTATAACAGAGTGATGGGTAATTTGCATACTACTCTTTTATTAGGTAGGATAGAGGCCCAGTGCATGAATTAGTGTATGGGTGATTCTGGCCAGCCTGGCCAGGGGGAGGCGACATAGGCAGTTGGCTGGCCTGCCTGCTGGTTGAACTCCTGATTGAGGGGACAATTTGCATATTAGCCTTTTATTATATAGGATATATACTGAGTGGCCAGATTATTATGCATTCAGAGATCATATTAATCTGGCCACTCAGTGTGTGTGTGTGTGTGTGTGTGTGTGTGTATGTGTGTGTGTGTGTCCCAGCCCCTAACCACTACCCTGATTGACATCTAACTGCTCCCCTGCTGGCCCGATTGCCCCTAATTGCCCTCCTCTGATAGCCTGGTCACCTCTAACTGCCCTCCCCTGCCATTCTGGTCATCTCTAACTGTCCTCCCTGGCAGGCCTGGTCCCCCCAACTGCCCTCCCCTGTTGGCCTAGTCACCCCTAACTGCCCTCCCCTACAGGCCTGGTCCCCCCCAACTTCCCTTCCCTGCAGGCCTTGTCCTTCCTAATTGCCTTCCCCTGCAGGTCTCGTCCCCCCAACTGCCCTCCCTGCAGGCCTGGTCCCTCCCAACTGTTCTCTCCTGCTGGCCTGATCTCCCACAACTGCCCTCCCCCGCTGGCCATCTTGTGACAGCCATCTTTTGTCCACATGGGGGCGGCCATCTTGTGTGTTGGAGTAATAGTCAATTTGCATATTACCTCTTTATTATATAGGATATGTACTAGATTTTTAAAAATTAAGGGTAAAATATGTTGAGGAAAGTTTACTGGGAGTCCTAGAGCTTGGACAGGTAGGCTTTTGGAGACAAAGTAGATTTAGAAAAAAAGCAGCCCTGGAGAATCCAAGATGGCTGCACAGGTAAACACCTAACTGCAGCCACACACAACAATTTCAATAAAATACAACTAAAATATAAAATGGACATTACCCAGAACTACAGGAAAATTGACTGACTAGAAATTCTACAACGAGAAGCAAGGAGAAAACCAGAAGGAGGAGCGGAGGAGCTGTAAGAGCCTAAGGTATGGAGACACGCTACGCGCGTGGAGAGGACTGAGCCGGAGAGGAGGGGCTGGCATTCCCTAGCGGGGGAAAAGATAAAAGCTCCAGACTGTGCTGAACCCCAGACCCGACAGCGCTGAACCCCAGTTCTAGACCAGACCCCAGGGACCCAGGCTCAAACAGAGGAAGCCTGGGCTGTGAGGCGGAATCCCAGGGGAGCGGCGAAGGGCAGAGACCCCGGAGGTGTGCACATTGTGTGCAGAGAACAGACTGTTGGCTGTGCCGCAGGATTGCCCTGGCAGGATGGAGACAAAAGCCCCAGACTGCTCTGAACCCCACTTCCAACCCCACTTCCAACTGAACTGAACCCCAGTTCCAGGCTCATTGGGGGAGAGACTAGGCTGTTTGGTAGCAGGCGAAACTCGAGGGCACCTCAGTCTCAGAGGTGCTTGCAGCGAGTACCGAAGGACCCTGAGGATTACTGAGACTCAGGAGCCGCATAGGGCGGGGCTGACGGAAGCCAAGGCTGTAGGCTCCACCCTGAAACACCGCACCATCAGGGAAGCTGCGAAAATGCCGAGACAAGGAAATAGATCACAAACGAAAGAAATGGAGGACAAAAAGCGACTGGATATAGAGTTCAAAATCACACTTATAAGGTTGTTCAAGAATCTCCTAGAAAAGGCCAATAAAATAAACGAAAGCTATGAAGATATGAAAAGAGATCAACTAGAAATAATAAGGGATCAACAAGAAATAAAGAATACATTGTCTGAAATAAAAAAATATTATACAGAGTCCTAAAAACATAATGGAAGATCGTAAGAATCAAGTCAAAGATTTGGAACATAAAGAGCCAGAAGACACTCCTCTGCAGAAGCAAGAAGGCAAGAGAATCCAGAAAGTTGAAGATAATGTAAGAAACCTCTGGGACAACTTCAAGCAAACCAACATCAGAATTATGGGGGTCCCAGAAGATGAGAGAGAGCAAGATATCGAAAACATACTGAAAGAAATAGTGACAGAAAACTTCCCCCATCTGGTGAAAGAATTAGACTTACAAGTCCAGGAAGTGCACAGAACTCCAAACAAAAGAAATCCAAAGAAGACCACACCAAGACAAATCATAATTAAAATTCCAAAAGCAAAAGACAAAGAGAGAATATTAAAAGCAGCAAGAGCAAAGCAGGTAGTTACCTATAAAGGAGCACCTATACGATTGTCAGCTGATTTCTCAACAGAAACCATGCAGGCCAGATGAGAATGGCAAGAAATATTCAAGGTGATGAATAGTAAGAATCTATAGCAAAAAATAATCTACCCAGCAAAGCTATCACTCAGAATCGAAGGCCAGATAAAGAGCTTCACCAATAAAAAAAAAAAAGCTAAAGGAGTTCATCATTACCAAACCAGAATTATATGAATTGCTGAAGGGGGTTCTTTTGGAAGAGAAAGTAAATAAAGATAAAAACTATGAACAACAAATACGTAGCTATCAACAAGTGAATCTAAAAACCAAGGAAATTTAAAAAAAAATCTGATAAACAATATTAACTGTTGAATATAATAGAATCAAAGGTGTGGAAGGGGAGTGGACTGACGATTCTCGGAGAAAAGGGGAGAGGGGGATGTGGGAAGAGACTGAACATAAACTGTGCACCTATGGATGAGGACAATGGGGGGTGGGGAAAAGGCAAAGGGTGGGGTGGGAACCTGGTGGAAGGGAGCAACGGGCGGGGGAGGAGGGAAGAGGAACATCTGTAATAATATGAACAATAAAGATTTAAAAAATAAATAAAGAAAAGACAAGAAAAGAAAAAAAGCAGCCCTAGCTAGTTCGGCTCAGTGGATAGGGCATCAGCCTGTGGACCAAAGGGTCCCAGGTTGGATTCTGGTCAAGGGCATGTACCTCGGTTGCAGGCTCCTCCCCGAGTCCCGGCCCTGGTAGGGCTCTTGCAGGGGGCAACCAATCGATGTGTTTCTCTCACATGGATGTTGCCCTGTCTCTTCCGCTCTCCCTGAAAGTCAATGGAAACGTCCTCAGGTGAGGATTGCAAAAGAAAAAGAGGGAAGAACAGAATTAGAGTGAGGTGTGCGGCATAGTAAGGAACACTGGGCAGGCTCGATGGCAGAGCATCTGGGCGCGGTGTAGGGCGGGTGGGCTGAGTGGGCCTGAGCTG